TGTGTGGGACGACACTCCAACCAATTGGGCCACCCATCCAAGGGTGTAACTTTTCACTTTCATCACCAGTTTCCTGGCTGGGTTTCACCCATGCCACCCTGAAAAAAAAAAAAAGCATATTTATAATATTCAATAAATATTTACTGAGCTATCTGTGACTCTTCTAGGCTCAGATGTGAACAAAACAGACAAAATTGAAATGCCCTATGAGACTTAAATTAGTGGGATAAGACATAGTAAACAAATAAATAAAGATATGGTATGTTAGTTGTTGCTGAGTGCTATGGGGAAAATTAAGGAAGAGCAATAGGTAGAGTAGAGGGAGGGAGTAGGGTGCCAAGAGGTGGAAAGACCACCATCTGCCTATTATTTTAATCTTCAAAGTCCCTTAGCTAGGAAATATTTTCCTACCAATCAAATACCAGGGGTTGGTTAATAACAATTTGTTTTTATTGTTTTTTTCCTCTCACTTATTCCAGGAAGTAGTCAGGCCCCTAGTGTTCCCATATCGGGAGAGTAGAGCTTGAGTTCCTTGAGGATGGGAAGGGTGGACTGGGAACGGCGAGGCCAGTGCCTCTGAAAGGGACAGGCAGGAGCAGCAGGGCAGAGAGGAGATTCTGTCAGGCTTGCAAGAGGATAAAAGTCTGTCAGTGCCCTGGGCAGTGCAGGACCTCAAAGAAAGGTAGCAGTGCAGTGTGCTCAGGAAGACGGAACCCATGCCCAAGGTTCCCAGCCCCTGAAAAGATTCTTTTGTCCAGGTGTGGCAAAGAAGCTGTCAGACCACCTGACTTCAAGCGACTTGAACAAAGAGGTTATTCATGTAACCATCATAGATTGGAAAGTAATGATCTGCCCTCACTTGTCACCATATTTTCCCCCCAATTTCTGTGAACTAAGGGATGGCCCTGAAATGACTAAAATCAATCATCCTTGTAAGATCAATCATCCTTGTTGGATTAGGGCTTTCTCATTCAACATAGCAAAAAGAAGATATTGTGATACTGTGTATACATTCAAATTTGCAGAGTAGAAGTTATCCTGCTACAGCTCCAGGCTATTATGTCTTGATTCATCCTCACGTAGAGAAGCAATCTTAAAATACAAAGCAACAGAAGGCATGAATTTCTGCCAGGTTGCAGATTTCCCACCACTGGCCTTACTGGGTGGACAAGCACATGTGTATTCTTTTCCTTGCATTGGCCACTCCATATGAGTGTGTGGTGATAACACTGACCTTACTCAGTGAGTCAAAAGTCACTGAGAAGTGTCACTCAACTTCTTTCTCAAACCCTGGGAAATGTGAAAATGATATGAAGGCCTCTGTCAGGCAGTAACAGTTGATTGAAATAAGATCACATAGGACAGTAGTTTGCAAACTTTTCCGTTTTGGACACAGCCAAGAATTTGCTCAGACATAGGTGCTATCTTTCACTTTCTAACCATTTGTTTAGTCTCAAACCTAATGCTTACTCCACATATTTGCTTGCTTATCCATCTATCAAGAATACATCTGTTAAAAATTATTTACTTTCATAAATTCACACAAAGTTTTACACTATATATTTAACTTCTTTTCCTATAATGGTTGCTTATTTTCCCCCTCTATCCCAAATTTAATGAAACTGATTAAAAAAGCTCAGGTTGCCAAAGGAATATAAAATAATGAAGGGCTTGATATTCCCTCTTGGGATCAGAGAATTTACTGGAATTTGAAGGTGCCCAGTTCTTTCTATAGTTTAATCTGAAGTCACTGATCTTAATCTTGACTTTATAAGCTTTTAGCTCCTTGAAAATTTGCTAAAGAAAAAAAAAAAAATAGCTAAAGAGCTACCTTGAAAATTTCCTTCTTAAACAAGTATATTTAAAAACTTGTCTGTGTTTTATTTTGTTTTGGGGTGGGAGATAAGATAGAAGTTCTAAATTTATTAGATATGTTCAGGCTTTAGTGAAAGGCATAGGTTTTTAAAACTACAAAAGCTAAGGACAAAAATAATTATTTTCACATTGCAAACTGAGGTACAAGACTATGTATGTAGGACTTACAAAGGAGGTGCCCAAACTGGCTTGGCCCAATTTATATAAGAATGTAAAAGGGTTGAGGTTGAACATACAGAAATTTCTTTGGAGAAAATGATGGTATACTGTGGCACCTTCCTTTCTCCTTTCTCATCTTGGGAGGAAGGATGGTCATTTTCCTGTACTAGTGGTGTTTTGAGAGCTCTGTGTGTTCTGGAACTTGAGCAATACAACATACTGGTGTCCAACTTCCCCGTGAGAAATCTACAGAGTGAGAGTTGCCAGTTATCAGATCTGGTGGCGGGTGATGAGAGCTAGAGGCACCAGAAATGGCCAGCATTCCCAGTTTTTGGGAGCAATGATGCAGGCAACGTGAGAGAAAGAGTGGGGTCATTTTAGAAGGGTCCCCACCCAAGACTGCTTCCTTTCTGCTGCAGTCTAAGCAGAAAGATGCAGATAATGGGTTGGGGGTTGAAAGCAACCAGCTAGAAGAAAGACCCCTGTCAAGGGAGCTAATTCTAGTTGGGAGAAAACATTCTCCAAAAACCCACAAGGTACTCCATAATAAAATGGTACTCCTGCCCAGCCGGGCGTGGCTCAGCAGTTGAGCGTCAACCTAGGATCCAGGCGATCGGGGTTCGATTCCCGGTCAGGGCACATGCCCGGATTGCGGGTTCAATCAATGACTCTCTCATCATTGATGTTTCTGTCTCTCCCTCTCCTTCTCCTTTCCACTCTCTGAAATCAATAAAGATATATTTAAAAAAAAAATAATAATAATAATAAAATGGTACTCAGAACTCTGCTATGGCTCCCATTGCACTCTGAGTAAAAGCCAAAATCCCTGCAGCAGCCTGAAAGGACCTCCAGCATCTGGCGACTGTTCCTTTTCTGACATCATCCCCTATTACCCTCTTCCTCTTTCAGCCTCAGCCACTTGGACTTCTTCGATACTTCTTGAATACACACTTATTCTCTTATGTTAGAGCATTTTTCTTTACCGAGAATGCTCTTTCCTTGGATATCTACATGGCTAACTCCCTGATCTCATTCAGGTCTTTACTGAAATGCCATCTTTCCAACGAGATTTACTCTGACGACTTTATTGTCTTACATTTTATTTATTACACAGTACTTATAACCTCTTATAGCATGCTGTAGCCTTTACTTATTTATTATGCTTATCGGAGAGTGTCTATTTCACTGACTAGAATGTAAGCTTTATCTGTTTTCTTCAACGATGGATCCAGAGAGTCTGGAATATGTTGAATCAATAAATAAATGAAGCAATTTGCAAGACATCAAAAAAATTCGAAGAATATATAAATGTTCATAGCTTTCCTTAAAAATATAGATGATGTATGTGCTTATAGATGCATACAGTATTGCTGGAAGACCGAAGCTGTAAATAATGAGTGCCTTCTTTATTTTTAGAATGTGCAACTATTACTTCTTCAATTAAAAACCAAACTCATAAAAAAATGCAATGCATAGCAGAGCCTAATTCTGGAATTCAAAATTTTTTGTCTTAACTTACTGCTTCTTAGAAGATGTTTAATTGTATTACCACTAGGTGGCACATACTTACTGATAAATTCTTAAAGACACTCAGACACAGGTTTTCCAAAAAGCTCTTCAGTCACCCAGACTCACCCAAGTTTACTTTAGCATTGATTTTTCTCAAGAAATTCCTTTAACTTTAGTTGTTTAATGCTATCAGCTTTTTGGTGATTTTTCTCTGCCTTTAATTTCTTAGCATTCTTACAGCATTTGAGTTGCAGAAATGTTTTAAATCTGCAGGTGCTAGCTAAGACATTCTTAATTTAGTGTACATATTCTCATGTTTATTGAATTGTATATCTCTGCTTTTCATCCTTTTTGTATGAAATAACAGTGAATGAAATTTAAAGAGTCTGTGTACAAAAGTAGATTTTTATTTGATTATTTTGCTTTGCTGCTTTTATACCAAATAAATCAATGTTCAGGACCACCTGCAATTTAAGAACCAATTTCTGAATGCTTATATAATATACAGAGAGATTAAGCAAATGGGTACAGTGGAGAATACAAAAATGAAATATTATGTGTTTCCTCTGTCTTCAAGGATCTTTCGTTTTATGGGAGGAAACAGTCATGAATGCAAATTAACTATGATGCAGGTCAGAATGTAGTAAATAATATAAATGAAAATACTAAATGTAATAAGAACCAGATAGTAAATATTAATTTGGGGACTGCAAGAATAAGGTGGAATTTGAGAAAAACCCAGGTAATTTTTATAGTTATTTTTAACATACAGATTCTTTGATTGTTTGCCTTTCTAAATACATTTTTGACAAAATGAAATAAACATGTAGAGAAAAGTGCTGTATTCAAGTAGAATAACATTTATTGAGTGCTTCCTACTCCAGCAAGCTGTCATCTGTTATTTCATTTAATACTCATGAGGCCTTTTGATGTATGTACAGCTATCCACATTTTACAGATGAAGAAACTGAGGCACAGAAGGTTTAAGGAACTCGTATGGATATGTCGGCTGTCCGCCATAACCCCAAAACTGATGTGAAGTGAATTAATTTTCTTGCAATAAGAAACTTAGCTTTTCAGTTTTTGCCGCTTCAGTGTCATTGCTATGTTACTACTTAAAAGAGAATCAACATTATTCTAATAAAATATATTAACATTGACTACTTTGTTAAATTGGCAGTCTTGATTTTTATGACTTTCTAAGTGCAATGTGAATCCTAATAAAATATTATCTTAGTGAATCAAGAATATGACCCATTTGGCTGTTAACATGCAAAATTTTTACAACTTTGCTATATTCTAAAATAATAATACAATAATAATCAGATATCAAAGTCTAAGTAATATATTGTACAAGGCTTAAATTAGATTTGGTTCTAGCTCAACAGCTAAGTCAAGTGGATATTAAAACACAATTATATATTTAAAATGAATCTTATTTTTCTGTGTTTCTTTAGCCAGGAAAATGTGAAAATAAAAAGAAGGAGTGGTATATAAGTGCACTACAAGAAGCATACCGTGCTTATGGATATTCTCCTGAGCAAAGACTGGAAATGTGCTGCCTGTCAAAACAGGGTATATGATTTTCAATTTTTTGCCACCCCAAATAAGGATGTATTCAGATGCATGCTTTCCAAAATGTGTGTGCTCATTTAAAGATCTCCCTTCTTTTTATATCTTTGTCCACTGAAAAATTATTTTTGTATGGATTAACAGTATATATTTTACTCTCTGAAACTATTTTCAATGACTACACACACTATTTAAATACAGGGGTTTTGATCAGTGTCTGTCATCTTTGCTCTTAGATTATCTACATAGGTTCTCTTGTGTATTTCAAAGCATTTATTTCAAAATTAGAAGCCATGGCTTTAAAATATATTCCTGGGGTGGAACTTTTATTGGATATGCTGTGTTATTTCAGAACAAAGTATTTTTAAATAAATTCAAGGCAGAAATAAAAGATAATCTTCAATTTTTTAAAATTTAATTAGGTGAAAAAATATAGTATTTCAGGTCATTTTCAAAGAAAGTTTTTTGAATCATAAATATGATTTATACATAGCTTTTTAAGTGAATTCATCATAAAGATTATAGTAGATATAACATTTTTAAACTCTAAAACATTTATGATTATTATATAAAAATGTTGATTTTCAATAAACTTTAATATGTTTTTAAATGTTTCTACTTAGTAATCATAACTTTCTATCTTACCAAGGCCCCTTTTCACTTTATCACAGTAATGTTTTTTCTCCTTTGGAAAAGTTTAATGTATATTTTTAAAAACATGTGAAAACATTTTATTTGAGAAAATGTTTAAATATTAACCCAGCCACCGAACTTTAGATTTTAAAGCAAATATGTAGGTTAGGAAAGTAAAAAAAGAATGACAAGTACACTGTGGCTTACTCTGAGACCAGGAGAAGAGACAGTTATCATAAATGCAATTTTATTCCTGGTGCTTTAAGTATAATGTCTCTGTTATTAGTAATAAAGGTTGAATTCACTGTATTGTCACAAATACAATTTTAGGCTTTGCATGGACTGTACATTTCTATTATGTAACCAAAATAATATTTGAAGTATTTATTTTTATAGAACATTAATACCTTGACATAATATAATAATTTACTTAAAAAATTATGGTACAGCCATTATTGGATGTATTTTTTTTAATGTTAAATGTAACCCTCAACTTCATTGTTAATGTCCATAGCTCTTTTCATTTTTCATTATGACGGTATTAAGGTTTGAAAAACATATCTATGAATAAATATTTACATATTACCTACTCAGCTATGGAATTCCAGATTGAAATTTTTTAAAAAATCCACTGGTTATAACAATAATTTTTGCTAATACATATACACACATGCACACACACACACATAATTTAGCAAATATTAAAATAATATGTTGAGATAATTTTCTATATTCTATTTGGTTACTAATTATTCTGGTTTTAGGAGCAGTAGAACAAGAAAAGGTACTTGTTCTCATTCTTGCTGAGTCTTTCTCTGAGGCACTGCAGGCAGCTTAGGGGTTCCAAATAGAGGCAGCAGAAATTTTGGAAAACTAGGGGACTTATAGTCAGATTGGTTTGGCCCCACTTCATGACCTCAGGCAGGGTACTTAGCTAAGCCTCAGTGTCCTCAACTGTGAAGGTGGGTATGGGCTACATACCTTGGAAGATTATCATGATTAAAATCAAGCAATGTCTATATAAGTCTTTATCTCATGTCTGGCATGTAGTAGACGTGCAAGTAGCGGTAGCTGGGATTTAATTCCAGGTCCCATATACTCCAGAGTACACAAACTGACAAGAATCTAGAAATTTTATATATATATATATATATGATGCTAAATAAAGGACATCGAATCAACCAGTCGGATTTAAGGGAGCAGATTTGTTAAATGAGTATACAAATCCCTGATGTTACGATTATTACTTTTGAATTACTTTGTTCTACTGAAATCTGGTAAGCTGAGTTTATTAGCATTTTGATCAAAGAACCACTGAAAACACGTATCACTGTATGAGAAAGTGAAAAATTCTGATTATGTAACTGCATTTATTTGAATAGGGCAATTTTTTGAAGCAGCCATACTTTATTATCTTACAGATAAATCCAAAGCAGATGACAGAGTTGCTGTCATGACCAAGAAAAGGGTAAGATCATGGTTTATGATGTAAAGTATACAGACTTCAAATTCTTTTTGATTAATAGTTTTTTTTTAAAAATTAAATGAATATTTAAAAACAAAATATCATAGTCATTTTTTTCTTCTGAATGTTTACTATATGTTTTCTTTTTTAGATTAACACTAGAAATTTTATATTTATGGTTATTTATATCAGTGTTACAGAATTATCAGAAGTTAGAACAATAGAAAATTTTACGTTAAATAAAACAATTGCTTTTATTTACATTATTATAATGTGTGCAATCTCATGGAAAATATAAATAATTAATATTCACAGCTTAATATGGACTTGACCTTAAAGTTAAGTGAGAACAGCATCAGCCATTTGAATGAATTGAAACCTAGAACTTTTCTTTGAAAATTTATGAAGTCACTAGCGTATTTAAATAATTTTTAAGATTTAACATGTCATTCTGTGTATTGTTTGCAGAGAGGTGTTTAACTGTACTTATTGTCAAAACTATGACTGGGATAGGATTAATCTTCACATTGTTTTCAAGTGACAATATTCTTAAAAGGACACTAGTGAAAAAGAGAAAGAGTCAATGCTTAAGTTCTTCTGGACAAATAATACATTGGCGTCCTAAGAAAAAGAATTGGGACAAAGAAAAGCCTATACCTGTGGTATTTCCTGTGGTGAGTGATGGGGCCAGTGCAGAGTGCATCCAGAGAAGGCTGAGTGCAACGGGGAACAGAAAAGGATGGTAGGCGAGAACCTGTCGCATAGATGAACAGGCAATGAGGTGACATTATTTTTGTATTCTGAATATGTATGAGTCCTTTTAAGATCAGATTTTATTTCATCCTTTTGCTTTTTGGACTTTTCACTTGATAAATAAGGCTGCTGTGCCTTTGCAGAGAGGAATGCAATACCATGGAAGGCAGTGGTGAAAAGAAATAGGACTTGTGTGTCTGTCTGAAGATTTGGGCAGGAATATATGAGGAAGTAGAGGATTGTTAATGTGGACGGAATTGTTTATTTCAGTCTCTGCTAAAGGATATTTAGAATCAATGATAAAGATAATAATAACTAACATTATTATATATTGCTTTATTTTTACCACTGATTCTCAATGAAGATGGTTCTGTGCCTAGGACAGTGCTATTCAAAATGTGGTCCATGGACCAGAGCTGTTCTGTGCACTATTTATTTTTGGTCTGCTGTGAGATAAGAGCAAACAAATGAGAGTAACCATTTAGAAATTTGTATAATAGTTTGACAGTAATTTTGGTCTGCTGAATGTAATAACAAAATAGAACTTGTATTTTGTCTTTGTTTTTATTTTATTTTTTCCCTAGTGACTTTTTCCCCCTAGTGACTTTTAAAAAATTATAAAGTACAGATCTTGAACAGATTGGGATGGAAAACTGGTGCTTTACCATGGATAGTTTGAGAGACATTGCTCTATGAGCTGCTTTGGGAATTTGAGAATTAATTGGGATATAGTAATTTGGGGGAATACAAGGTATTTTTTAGGGCAAAGGTTAAGGACACTAGATATCTTGCAATGAATGGAATAAACTGTATAACAAGAACTGTCCAACAGTTCGCATGACTTTTGAATACACTCCTGGACTTGACAAACTTCAAATATAACTGTGTAATGATATATAATACAAAATATTATGGGAACATGTTAGACAAAAAGTCAAGGAATTTAGAAGACATGATGGAGAGAGAAGCTGAAAGGGAATAAACATACTGTTCTTGAAATTATTGAATAATTTACTTATTCTCTAATCAACATATTGTAACATTTTCAAGTATATTTTTAGCTATAAAGGGTAGAAATGCAGTTACTCAGAGCTCTGTCTGCAAGCCTCTGCTACTCTCATAGTCCCCATCCTTCTGGTCTTCACCCATGTGTGGCTACCCGTTAAGGTAGATGTGAGTGGTGTAGGTGCACCCACTTGACCACATCTCTGTTCAATGGCAGCAGTCTGAATGAAAGAGACTAAGTAACACTAATCTCTTTGAGTCCCACCTGAATTTTTTTTTAACTAAAAATATTTGTTTTTAAATCCTCACCTGAGGATATTTTTTTCATTGTTTTTCAGAGAGAGTGGAAGGAAGAGAGAGAGAGAGAGAGAAACATTGATGTGAGAGAGACACATTAGTTGGTTGCCTCCCACTTGCACACTGACCAGAGCCGGGGATAGAGCCTCCAACTGAGGTACATGCCCTTGGCCGGAATTGAACCCAGGACCCTTCATTCCACGCACTGACCCTCTAACCACTGAGCCAAACTGGCTAGGGCAGTTATTTTTTACTTTTAAAAAGAAGGAGAAGATCTAGATTGCTCTTAGTCCCATCGTGCTCTAATATTCCATGAATTATAAAATATTTATAATAGCTCAATAAGTACTTTCAGAATGTCAAAAGATTTGTGCAGACCAAAGTAAACATCTGAGTCAATTAGCCTAGAAATACAAAATAATTAAAAAAAAAATAAAAACAGTAGTATGCCAGGAATAGCTGATGGTGTTGCCTACCATAGATTCTGAAGTTGTGTGTGTGTGTGTGTGTGTGTGTGTGTGTGTGTGAGAGAGAGAGAGAGAGAGAGAGAATGTGTGTATTCAGGAAGCAGTAAATTGTGGTGGAAAGAATACAAACTTATGAATGAGCCAGATCTGCCTTCAAGAACTAGTGCTGCTACTTAAGTTGTTGTGTGACGTTAGGAAAGGTAACACCTCTGCACCTCATTGAATTAATCGCTGCACTGGGAACAATAGTAATTACCTCGTATGACTGCTATAAAGGTTAGTATGAAAGGCAATTATAATAGCATGTAGTTAATATATTTTAGTAGGCGCTTTTATGATAAATGCCAATACTTTTCTCCCCAATTTCTCCTTAAAAAGAGATTGGAAGTAAGGTCTTAAGGATATTAAAAATTCTCAGACTTGTAATAGCAGTCCAGTTCTATTAGATAGTTAAGATTATGTAAGATTCTTGTTTTTAAAGGAAGCCCCACATTTTAATCATGATTTATTTTTTCAAAGTAATATAATAACATTGTATTTGGAGGATAGACTTTCTTAAATGGCCTGAGATCCATCACATTAATTCAACCAATTTTATTAATTTGATACATTTTTTACAGTTATTTCTTTATGCATATGTTTAAATATAGCATGTATAATTATATTTATGATATTAACATAAATGGAATGAATTTAAATTCTACTGTTTCACTTAATATTTTGTTGACATCTTCTCAACTCAAAGACCTGCCAAATCTTAAGTGGTTACATAGCATTTTGTTTTATGGAAATGCCTTAATTTATTGAACAATCTCCTAGACAATTAGGTTGATTCCATTTGCAAAATCACAAATAAAAAAGCAGCAACATCATTGTACACAAATCTCTGTAAATTTTTGTGTAAATATTTCTATGGGAAAAATTACTAGAAGCAGGCTTCTAGTAATAAGCACATTTTAAGTTTTGCAAATTTGCTGAACATCCCTTACTGAAAATTCTCCCACATTATTATACCAATTGCAGTCCCATCATTAGTTTAAGGGAATGACTGGCTTAGCTTGGCAATTATAGCCATTTTACAGTCATTCTTTCTTTCTTTCAAAATTAATACTTTGTCAATGTGTCGCAAACATTTTTTTCAGTTTTTCTTTTAAAATGGATGTAGTTCTTTTGCTATACTTATACGGTAAAACATTTCTTTGGGGCCTTTAGAACTTTTGTGACATGCTTTAAAAGACTGCTCTTTCATTAAAACAAAACATGTTATAATTCACTTAACCTTTCTCCTGTTGCTACTGGTAACACTTCGATGAAAACACTAAAGCAGAATGAGTGAAGACACAAGTTAGGTGGTGGACCCACGGTTCTCTCTATTCCTTTTTCTTCAGGTTTTTCAATGTAGAATGTTACATATTTCTAATTGAGCCTACCCCAGAAATTTATTACTAGTGGGAAAATAATCTCTTTTGCATTCTGTTTTCTAATTTCTTGGCTTATATATAAAAATTATGTGTGTATGTATGGGCATCTTTTTTCCTAACACTTTATTAATGCCAAGAGTTTAACTTACACACTTTGAAAAGCAAAATTAATCACCACTCTTTTGATTATACATTAATGTATAAGGAATGTAGGCTATATTTTTTTCCAATGAAAAAATATTTTTCTCTGAAATTACTGCAAAAATTCTTCATCATAAGCAGGACATTTTCATTAGCCCAGTGGCAGGATAAGTTGCTTACATTTTGTGACTAGGTATCTGGATATTTGAGTTAATTAATAAGCTTGCTTACTAATATGGAATTCATACACTGTAATTTACTTAGCTTTATATTCATCTCTCCCCAAAGATAAATATTATAATAGATCCCTCCTGCTGGCTTCTAGCCCTAGGCAGAGAGAAATCTCAGAAAGAATAGTAAGCAGAGGAAACCCTTGGAAAGAGTCTCAGACTTCAAAACTCATTTAGTTTCCTTTTGGATTCTACTTTGTGGGCCTCATTCACTTTTCCTTGGGCCAGTGTTCCCCAAATGGGTCATTCAGGCATTCCATCGCCATTTTGCCATTTTCCATACTGTTAGTTACTACAGTGAGCTTTCATTTGACTTACATTTTCCTTAATTTTTTATTGAGGTCAAATTTAAACATGTGAAATGCACAGATCTCAAGCATAGAGTTTGGTGAGTTTTGTTTCCTCTGTGTATTCACTCATGTAATTGCCATACCCAATCAAAATAGACACCATTTTTATCACCCCCAAAAGTTTCCTAATCTAAATTTTAAAATGTAAATGCACTCTTTTGATGTGCATTTGCATTTTTCAAATGCATATAAATAAATATATATTAATATAGAACATTGTCCATTTATCAGTTTAAATCAATCACTGGAAACTTTAAAATAGAAAGTTCTTTTCATAGTAATTTCAGTTACCCTATGATCAAAATCAGCAGAGAGAAACTGCCACCAGAAGGCACTGTT